GTGGGCAGGTGCACTCCCATCACCATGTATACACGCTTATTCTGGTCAACTCAAAATTGAGTCGAATGTACTCATCTCAGCGGCAAGTATGGCTACTCAAAATTGAGTAGCCTTATGTTGACTCACTTTTGAGTAAACTACGTTCTCACGTAGACTGAGTCAAATCCACTCGCCGGTATTTTCAGTTGCGAGGAGGGTTTTTATTTTGATTTTCATTCAAGGAAATGTAAATTGCCTGTTCCGGATTCATTCTACCGGAGCAAAAAACGGTTCAACCTCTATAGTTCAACACCGTTTCCCTAAGCAATTCGTACTTACCTGAAGGCATTCCAGCCGGTTTTGAGTAACATTTTCTATGAGCTTTCCTCCGACATGACTGGCATTTTTTCCAAGTCCAGGATTTTGCTGACTGAGTGGCTTTTACTCAGTTTGACATTTCTCGTTTACTCAATTTTTGACAACTCGATACATCGGACGAAAGTGAGTACGATCGACTCACCTGGTGAGTAAGCAGAAGTTAGCGTGTACGTTATTTCTGGAGCAGAGGAGAAGGAGCTATCACTGAGGCAAAAGAACGTAAGAATTCCATAAGAACCACTTATGAATTTTAGCCACAAGGAATCGGTATGAATTTCATTGATTTGCCTTATGAAAAATAATATCGACAAAAAAAATAATGAAACTGAGCGACTGAAACCGAACCATGGACTTTGAGATTACGAGTCCTGTGTCTGGACCACTCGTCTGTCAACGCTTGGGAAAATGAAATGACTAATGGCGTAGAAGAGCTACCTCATGTAAGACGAAAATTTTTCATAAGTCGTGCTTATGAAATTCATATGTGTCGTTCATAATTCGAGCCTTATGAAATTCTTAAGTCTATTTGCCTCAGTGTATAAGAGTTCATTTGACAGCATGTATACACAATTTCGTGAGCTGTTTCAGCAAAACAATTTGAAACTTCGGAAGATTTTCAAGATGTTTTCTAGCTCACTTGAAAAATAAAATCGGCTGAGTTCGCAGTACTCAGGTAAAAACGTTATCCGAGGGTCCAATCAAATATTACGTAACACGCAGGGGGTGGGAAGTAGCTTGTATCATGTTGTTCACTCAGAATAATTTTCACGTCAATACTACGTGAAAACATACGTAGATGTTTTCCATCGTACTTTTCACATAAGAGCTACGTGATTCTCATGTAGTAGCACTCATTTCATGAAGGTTAACCGTGAAAGGATTATCACATAGAAGTTACGTGATTTGGTCGGTAACATTCATTGGAGGATTCTTGTATCAATATTTTGACAAATTTGCGAGGCAAATATTTCCTTAATATGTAGATAAAATCTTAACTGTATTCATAGTAATAAAATATAATAATATTCCTTTAATTTATTCATACATTCTAAATATACCACATTTTTTTTTTAATATTCGATACGCAGCACAAACAATCTGGACGATCATTGGGATATGCCGAGGTACTTTTTTCCTTAGAGGAAAAAACTGCTGGTCAGCTTGATATCATTCTGTTGAGCACGATGCAACAGTCAGTTTGTTTTTGTCAAAGAGAAAAAAAATAATCCATAATTTTATACTTACATCTTGCCACTATCTTTCAAAAATACCGAACAAAGGATATCGTGATGCCGCCATGATTTGCAACGCTCTGAGTGTACCTACATACCACTCTTTTTTTAGATGTGGAAATCACATAAGCTTTACGTGAAACGCACATAGACTCAGTGTTAAAAAGTGAGAGCTTACGTGATTTTTCACGTAGCTTCAAAGTGTAGATTATTTTGATTATCCTTTTTCAATCACGCACGAAGAAAGATACCATAACCGAACGATAAATCAAATGATAAAAGTATTCCATAAATGGTTTGGATGATACCTTGATCACGTCGTTAAGTAAAATAACCATATTTTTTAAGGTTTGTCTTCGTATCACCTGATGTGCATTTATTTCTTATGAAACAAAGAATAACTGTGGTGATGACACCTATATGATTTATCATTACAGCGCTCTTTTAAAAGCGTTTCCGCTCATACACGCATATCCTGGAGTAAGCCTAGTTGTCAGATTGAAAATTGGATTAGAACCAGAAGGTCCCGAAGAAACGTGCTCAACTGTTTTGGCTCAGTTCTGGTACTCTCTTCGGTGCAAAGCTAATCGATTCACCCCTCGAAACATAGCTAAATCCACTAACCCCTCATTTTATCTATCAAACTTTCATAGCGAATCAAAACAAACAAAGTGTAGTACTAGAATTTCGTCTAGAATGGGGTACGTTAATCTATATGCTTGGGACCAATAGGCTAGTCAAGTAGTGAGCCAATTTATCGATAGTTTCGTATTGGTTGTTGATATTACCGTTTTCAGTAGTGTTATACCCCGTTATACCCCGTTCACATTACAGCGTATATCACGTAATATACGCTGTCTTGCAATGAGCACTCATACATCTAGTTTTCACTGGAAATCCTATGTATGAGTGCTCATTGCAAGACAGCCTATATTACGTGATATACGCTGTAATGTGAACGGGGTATTAACATTAATCATAATCAGCAATGTTATAGCAACAATCAATACGAAACTAAAGATTTTAAATTGGCTCACTACTTGACTAGCCTATTGGTCCCAAGCAAATCGACTAACGTACCCCATTATAGTATAAATTCCAGTACTACACTGTCTACACTATGTTTGTTTTGATTCGCTATGAAAGTTTTACAGATAAAATGAGGGATTAGTGGATTTTCCTATGTTTCGAGGGGTGAATCGATTAGCTTGGGACCAAAGATAGTACCAGAGCTGAGCCAAAAAGTTGAGCTCGTTTCTTCGGGACCTTCTGGTCTTAGAGTTACCTCTATGGTTATAGGCTGTCTTGCAATGAGCACTCATACATAAGATTTCCAGTGAAAACTAGATGTATGAGTGCTCATTGCAAGACAGCGTATATCACGTGATATACGCTGTAATGTGAACGGGGTATTATTGAAAATAGCTGAATGTTCTGTATTTTTTGTGGTTTACAGTTCGAAAATTGAAAAAAAAAAATACCGAACAGGGAAGCCTTGATTAAGTGTGTAGGCATCTTGGTGTCATTAGTGACAACTGTCAAACTTGCCGTTTCCGTTCCACATCCGCCCACATTGCGTTTGGGCGTTTGAAAATAGCATTATACGATCTAAAGATGGCATTCTATGAACTGTTTACAGAATTTGATTTGCCTTAATAAGATACTACATTTTTCTTAGCGAACATCCTAATTCGACCTAAAGATGAACCAACATTACTCTGGTGAATTTATGCCACATTTTTTTCATTCTAAGGCTCTGAACCATTTGGTGGATTATTTTAACTTTTGGTTAAAATTTGACAGATGAAAAGTTATCGATTAACCCTGCTATCCGAGCATGGTTGTTTCTGACAGACAAGAAGTTAAATTTTGACAACCGTGGCTCGAAAACCGGTCGATCGACAGCACGGGGATTTTCGAACATAGAAAATAACTTTCGAAATGTCACTTTTAACCACGAGTTAAATTTAACTCGCCAAATGGGACACAGTATAAGAACTTGGATATCGAAAAGCTCAATGCGGCTCAGTTAGCTTGATTATTATAGGGTAAGTTTGCCAGTTTTGGCACTAGTGTTCGAGTTTTTGCCCTAGAGCCCAAATCAAATATGAAATAATTTTTCATGGTTTTATTTGCGTAGATATATGGCAAAATATATGTATGTATGGATATTTTGTAAAAAATTAAACAATGTGAAATTTAAGATAGGGCCAACCCTAGATCTCTAGGGTCAAAAACTGCCACATTTACCCTAATATTAAACATTCAACTGTTATTCGTTGTTTGTTTTATAACGCTAAGTTTCTTATAATTATAGAGAAAATTAAATTTTATAAAAATTGGCTGCATCAAACCGATGAAAATGGAAACTTATTTGGAACCTACATAGATTTTGACGACAAAGTGACGAATGAAGTGTATTGCAACATTTGCAACCGGGAATTTTGGTTTGAAACCCTGTCGATTTATCTCCACACAAAATCTACGAAACACCGTCAGCTATCGTAGATCATAAAAGATTATAATAGATGGCTTTTGATGACATCAGATCCTATCAGCTAGGGACATAACGTTTATGTGGGCAGTATAAATCTGTAAATTTCAGACATTGCTTGCTTCTCCACAGCAAACAACAAGTAGTAGTTTCAGCTACAAGCTTTTACTATTCTTAGGCTGTGAACCATTTGCCGAGTTAAAATTAACTCGTGGTTAAAAGTGACATTTCGAAAGTTATTTTCTATGTTCGAAAATCCCCGTGCTGTCGATCGACCGGTTTTCGAGCCACGGTTGTCAAAATTTAACTTCTTGTTTGTCAGAAATAACCATGCTCAGATAGCAGGGTTAATCGATAACTTTCCATCTGTCAAATTTTAACCAAAAGTTAAAATAATCCACCAAATGGTTCAGAGCCTTAATATCTTGACATGTGAATTTTAGTAGTTTTAAGCGAAAATGGATAGCGGCGCCGGTGGTGTAGTGGTAAGCGTGATTGCCTCTCACCCCAGCAGGCCTGGGTTCAATCCTAGTCGGCGCCGTCGGGATGTTCTGAGGCAATAACATCTCTGATCACGTTTACCTTCGGAAGGGAAGTGAAGCAGTTGGTCACCGGTTCATGAGTTGATGGGTCGATAGGTAGGGTTCAGGTGTGGGAGCTGCCTCCCTGAATTGGTGCTCAGCACGGAAAACAAGATCGACGGAAAACAAATCAACAAATAAAGGAAAAAAGAAAGCGAAAAAGGACGCTATCACCTTTATGGGCGCTGAAAAATTAAGGATGCATTTCTATACATTATTTATTAAAATATATTACAAGAACTCTAGCCTGACCATTGAGGAAGTTTATAATAAAATTATAAATGAGATTCTTCAACATATTAAAGGAACAGGAAATACTTTCGTTAGAATGGATCATCGTTTTATTTAGAATAGTATTGTTAGGAAATTTTCTTACCTCAGTAACAGCGTGAGCAGATGCTAAATTATGCGCGTGATATGTGCATGAAGAAAAAGCATTATCAAAGTCGCTATAACAATAAACTATGCTTAAAGTTTAGCTGCCAGTAGTTAGCAGTTTAATTGATTTTAGGCCTGCTGTTGCGTTGTACTCTCGGATCAACTACGACGCTGGCTATTGCCGGCACAAGGCGCATGTAACAGTAGGTAAAAAGCAGATGGATTGAAAACGTATAGAGATAGTAAATTATTACTCCATAATAACGCGGCGTGTAGTTAATAGCTATCCATTTGATAGTCATCATTATCAGCGTTAGCGGGATACTCCGTTTCCAGTCGAGTGGCGCTGATCTGGAAGACGTCAAATAAGATTAACTAACTAGAATCAACAGAGCAGTTTGCAAAAGCTTACTTCAAAACAGGCCCGACAATGGCGAAGGCAACCAACGATCCGGTGAGGCGTATAATACTGAAAACCAAAGTAGTGCTTGGATCCAAATAAAATGGATCATCGCACCACTTGAAGGCCATTTTTACCGACCATTGAGGGTCGATTCCGAACAGCTTCTGACCCCAGTAGACCAGCAGCAGCACCATGCAGATTAGGCTACAGTATGCCAGTCTCCTTTTTCTGGTCATTTTAGTCAAATATTTCTCAAAACTTAGCGACATGGTCAGCTTGGTCATCGCTACTCCCAATAAAATTCCAATAATGCATTGGTGCAAAAAATGGCACCCGAAATACATACGCGAAATGGAAATTAAAAGCAACGACAGATAGTAGCAGATGCGAAGGGCAATAACGACCGATTTTCCATATTGTAGTCCCGCTTCTTCCAGCACAGAAAATATCACATACAAATAGGTTGTCGAAGTCATCAAGTGACCGGACGGATTTCCCGGACTTGGCTCGCACGTTAGCTCATTCTGATACAACTTTGGACGGTTGAGTGTGGTGAACTCCTTAGTTTCTCGCACCCACCAAAATGGGCGGTCTTCGGCGAGGATCCTAAAATGAGTGATGCTCATAATGTCTACCTTCTATCTATAAAATATTCATTTTAACAACTCACCATTTCAACAGAGTATTGAAATACTCTGTTAGCAGTACACTCAGCAGCAGTCTGGAGTAGATTCGAGTGCTAAGTCCCGCCACCAGTGGAATGACCGTGAGGAACAGAATCTTCGGATCAAAGGCCTTGGTAACGAGGGCCAGGAAATCTTCATATCGAGAAAAACTATAAAGCAAGTGAGAACGAAACACAAACATTCCAACTCCAAAATCAATGCCTGGTATTGCTCATTTGTCCAATCAATTGGCAAGCGTCTCTTACTTACACATCCTGCACGTACAAAATCTGATAAATTTCACGCTTCAAAAGATAACTGTACAATTTCATAACCAGGCCGCAAATGTTTAACCAAAGACCAAATATCGAAAAAAAAAACTGTTTCACTGATTAGTATGAAGGCTCATCACACGGTTTCTATTTTCTGCCCTCAATGCTATTTGATGGTTGCAGACACAGGGCGTGAATTTTTCACTAGCGCAAGCTGAGGGCGATATTTTCCACGGACAGACGTGACGAGAGTGTGAAGGGTAAACGGTGGAACCGGAATGGTGCAAATAATTGAGGATGTGTCAGGATCAGCTGATAGGATCGGGAAAGAAGAAGGACTTTAAAACTCTGTGTGTACGTTATTAAATTGACGGAAAATCGATACCTGATACAGTTTCGGTGCCAGGAGAAAACGCATGCGCCGGAAGCACGTGCTCAAAAGAGGGGATTGTGTTTGTTTTGGCGCGATTTTGACAGGATTTTTTTTCTTCCAACAGTTGATGATGATTTCTGCGACTGGAAAGATCCAGGCTAACCATGCTGACTAGATCAAAGTGAGACTACCGGAGAAGGCTAATCAGGAAATACGGCTCTACACTGTGTACCTATATCAGATTCAAGATTTAGGTTTTGATAAAATGCTTCTTGGATTGTTTTTTAAAACCGCATAAAAATGTTTGAAGTAGGTATTAGTGTTGGTTGCAACCCAAACTGGACTACCCAAAAATATCAAAAAGTATGATAAAAGTGTACCTTTCTATCAAATCGTGTTGGTATCTTCGGAGCACTTATTTCTTGCTTCATATGGAATAAATGGACTGAAGAAACCAAGACGATTCGACGGAAACTCGCACTTTTAACATACTTTTTTTTCTACAATCGTGCTTGCTTCACAGTTTTCCATGCAAAGAGCAGCTTGGATTTATTTTTTATGAGATCATGATCGATCCCTTGCATCGTTTTGCTAGTAATCCTTGATTTTAAACGATCCCACTAAGGTTTTTTGTATATGTTTTGACAGTATTATTTGTTACTGGAGCTGGTGATTAATTGATGTCTAAATATTTGAATTGGAAATACAATTCCAGGTAGAATCTCAAATGGGAAGATAGTTCAAGATGCATTTTAGGTCACAGGTTCTTCATTCTCAACAGCGAGGATGAAATCAGCTGTTCTGCACATAAAATCACTGAATTATGAGCGGAAGTGCTGTGAGGAATATCACCTTGCGTCTTGCCCTGAATGCGTATTTGCCTGTTTAAGCCTACCAAGGATATTGAAGCGTTTTATTGAAGTAGAATGAAATCTACATTCTGATAATTTGAATGTATTTACTGTAATCTTGAATCATCATACAAAGTCTACCACTTTTCTACAGTAGAAATCACTGCCAAAAATGTACTAGCGTGAATGTTATTATATCTTCAGTAATCTCAATCTTTTACCAAAATTCCTCAGCTAAAGGATGAGGAAACTGCAACATTCTGATTTCGACGTAGGACTACGTCTTTCGAGAAGGATTCCAATTCAGGGAATTGCAACGAACATTGGTCAGACTTTAAATGCTAAATGCTTGCCCAATAATCAATGGATTTTGATGATTTGCATGTCGATCGATGTGTATAAGATTTGTGTGGTATGTCACACATTATAATTGTTAAATATTTAAGGAAAAATTGTCATGAAAACTGCAAAAAGTACCAAACATTAAGGTATATTGGGATCCACCATGAATTGTATATGTAAAAGTATGGTATAAGTTGCTTAACGAAATTACGTGGAGTTTAGCTACTAATACTTGCTAACCTGCAAGATACACCCCCTTAAAGATAGTGTTAAAAAATTATTAATGCGGATGTAAATCCTTTAAACGAAGAGTTAGCTATTTGCTTACTTTTGCAAAAATGTGCAACTTACAACTTTGTGCAATTTTGAAAAAAATGTAAAATTCAAACAAAAAAGTTATGGTAAAAAATGGGTTTTAAGGGAGTGCTACCGTTTGTACTCCATTTCACCCTATATCTTCGTCCAGTTGAGAGATACTAAATTGTGTTTTTGGACAAAGTTTCTTAAAATGACTTCATCTACAATGTCTCCATAGACGTTCATCAATTTTAACAAGACGTAAAAAAGTTATCTTTTTTATCTGAGTGTACACGAAACGAAAATCAATTATTTAATTCATGTGTTTCACTTATACATTTTTGCCAAAGCATCAGCCTTATACATTCCATAAGACAAACCACATAGGTCCTATTATAATGCATAAAAGGTATGTGTGACCGGTTATACATTTCATTTGACACATGATCTTTATTAATTTTTTGCAAGGCGTCTGCTTATTAGTTGACTTATACATTTTATGAATAATCAGCAATGGAAATTTGCCAAAAGGTATAAGGAGATTTCTATCCGTGTATATCCTCTTTAAGTAAATTTTTTTACCTCTCAAGTAAAGTACTCAAAAAATTAAGAAACATTCTATAAGAAATCAAGATGCTACACTAAATAGTTTCGTCGCAAATGGTCATGTCCCACTTTTTTGATTTCGTCCCAAAGTGCGCCGTCGGAGTAATTTTGCAATTTTTTTTATGAAGGCGCAATAACATACCTTTATTTTGACAAAATTATGTTTTTCCTAATCAATCCTCAGGAACACCTGGTTTTATGTGTCCGAATTCCAAATGGACCAGACTTTATGTAAAATTCCGGTCGTCGTTAGTTTATGGTAGGGGAAATGGGTCTATCGTTGGCCTATGGATCTAAGATTGGGCCATTCGCTAAAAATCAGCTATTTATCAATTTTATCTAGACGTGATTGTCCCGGTACTAATAAATATTTTTGGTCGTAATTGAAAATTTAGTCGATTACTAAATTAATGCATGAGCTCATATTAGGGGCATTTAGGCCGACATTACATCCATTTTCCCTATCTGTTTAATTAGGAAAAGGGTGCTTAACTCACGCCGTATGCTCTCTATGTCCCTTTCTCCCCTATCTATAGAATACTGTAACATTTCTCAAATCAAACGTTTGGTTTCCAATTAAGTGGTGCTTAGTACAACATTAATTGAAAATTAGGGGATTTAGATATTCACTTTTAAAATCAGAGCAAAAGCACGTATACAGGTTCTCCCCCTGTTAAGTGTTATGGTAGTAAGCATCATAGTTAAGCGTCGAATGTATGCAGTTCCAAAAGCTTGTTAAAAATTAATTTGAATTTCCTACCTCAAGCTGAAGGACCTTCTCCAGTGTCCCAAAAAATCTCTATAGCGCTGATTTTCACTGTTGCACAATTTCTCAATAATTGCTTATTTGCCTTCCAAGAAGCATTTGTAGAACGCAGGATCGTCATCACACAAACACTCTTGAGTAATATTGTAGACCAATCGGTGGGTCAGGACGAAATTGAATTATTTTAATTTTTTGGTTCAGGTTCCAAGGTACCTGAATTGGAACATCATCAACATCAAGAGAAAAAAGGTACATTTTCTTGGAACAGCCTTAAAAACCATCATATTCGTAGAACAACTCTATCTTTTACATGTATTATATTGAACATCCTTTATTTTTGTTTTTTTTTTATATTTCAAATGGAAGCTAAAAAACACAAATTAAAAATGCACGCAAGAAGGGGGAACGTCTAAACCTCTCAAAAACTGACCAAGTTGCCAACCCATTACCTGACCATCACTAACATTTGAGGCAGGTCGCTGTATATTTCAATTGCATCAATGTGAATTTACAAAGTATTTGCGGTGTGGTACACTGACGATAATTGCCACACAGTCTTCTGATAGAAAATCTTGTACTTCCGCATGGCCTAAAGACTGGAACGCGCAAAAATTGGTCGACAAAAAAATCTTTTCTTTCAGTCAAAATTCTTATCACAAAAATTTTTTTATTTTTATTTTGGTAGTTCAATTTACATATTTAAAGGAAAAAATATTCGTTTATTCTTTTGGTTTGCCAAATCCGAACTTCCGTGCCTTCCGCTTAACCCCTTCCAATCAATTTTGCACAGTGGTCACATCGACCTTATTCGATGCCGAACGCCGGTTAGATTTAAACTGCTGCTCTTTTTCCATGGATTTATTAGTTTTTTGAGATTCCGTATGACCAAGGCCCAATACCATTCGATAGGGCGGAGTTCTGGGCTATTGGGAGGGTTGTTGTCTTTGGGTACCACAACCACGTTGTTCGCATCGTACCACTCGATTGCCTTTTTCCCATAGTGGCAGCTCGCCAAGTCCGGCCAGAACAGCACAGGTATATTATGTTGCTTTAGGAATGGCAGCCGCTTTTCCAGGCACTCCTGGACGTAGATCTCTTGATTGATGGTTCCTTTTCAGACCACAGATTATCAGCTTTATTAACATGGTGTGGCTGTCAGTTGCGTCGAATTATTTTCCTTGAAACGGCAATATTTTTTCGGGAACTTCGATAGTTTGATGGTTTTGAAAATTTCAGTCACCTTCCCTTTTCCTGATGCGGTATAAAACTCCTGTCCCGGAAGCTGCTTGAAATCCACCTTCACATCAGTTTCGTCGTTCATGACGACACAGTCGAACTTTGTGAGTAGATTCGTATACAGCTTTCGGAACCGCTGCTTTGCCGACGTGTTTTGTTTGTAATCTCGGTTCACCACCTTCACCTTCTTAAACGTCGACAACCCGGCTCGTTTCTTGTCCCGCTGCACAGTAGTATGGGAGACATTGAGCTTGCCAGCGACGTCCCGGATGGAGAGGTTAGGATTCCGCTTATATTTCACCGCCACCTTCTTCGTCGTCGCTGCCACGTCCGGATTACGATTGCCGCCGCTTCTAGGCTTACTGGCGGTCGACAGACGCTCACCGAACACTTTTAAAACGTTTGTCACGGTCGATTTGGCCACATCCAGCAATTTTGCCAACTTAGCGTGTGAGAACGTCAGATTCTCATGCTGCGCGAGCACGCTGCTCCTCTTGCTTGGACGTCATTTTGAAAACTGGAGAGCTAACGGTGAAAACTCATCATACACACAAAAAACGAAAATTGTATTAGTAAAAATATTGTACTTTCAATTTAAAAGTATTCAAAAATTTGTTATACTAACTATGAAAATATTTAATACACCAAGGTTTTTTTCAAACCAAAAGTAAATGTTTTGATTTTAACTTGTAGTTTTAAAAGTGCAAATTTTCAAATCGAATATAGTTGAACTGTCAAAACACCTACTTCGTGAAGAGATTTCTACTCATTCCTGGGTAGGTTAATAATAACGTGAGTGTAGAAAAGCAGGTGGTGAAAATGGCAAAATTTTCAACTATTTGTTAATAAGAGATTATTATCGCGAAAAGTGTCCCAATCCGGACTTTTATT